CATAATAATCATAATAATACATTAAAGCCAAGTGTATTTTCAAGAGATACAGGTGGTCCTCATTTAATGACCATTCAGAGACTGTTTGAACTTGTGACAGCACTGAACGAGGGGGGCTTAAGACAGGGTCCTAGAAGTTCTGGCCATCACAGTGCCCACGCGGTCACGTGATCATGATCCGGGCACTAGTGGGTTTTCTACCGTTGCAGCATCCCACAGTCATGTGATCACCATTTGCGAACTTCCCAGCTGGCTTCCGGCAAGCAAAGTCAATGGGGAAGCTGGCAGGAAGTCAGAATTGCGGTCATGGGAGGCCCTTGCTTAATGACCCACGGTGATCTGCATAACAATGGGGGACTGCTGGAACTGCCGTTGCTAAGCAGCATACATGACGTTGCACTTTATGACCGCATCACTTAGCGACAGAAATTCCGGGTCCCAATTGCCATTGTTAAGTGAGGACAGCCCTGTACCATCCATGAATGGACAGATAATTACTGAAGTTATACACTTAATGCTCAACATTAATAAAAGACAATGCAACCAGAGCATACTGCTTTCATGATATAAAAAAGAAGTATAAACTTTTGAGCTTAAGGCCAAAATCTCCACTATACTATTTATAAATGTTTAAAAAAGAAGGGAAGAAAAAACACCCTTAACAATCATGCAGGTAAATATTTCACCCCCATCTTTGGACGCCAACCGGTTTGCAGTGCCTATTGGCGTAAACTTTAGAAGCCCTCCTCTATTCTTGCTTAAATGTAGTTCAGCTCCGGTTGTGTGTACGGGCTGTTAGTTTCGCCGTTGCTGCCGGTTCCCGTCCGCCTTTCCCTTGGCCTGCTTCCTGCCCTGCTCCAGCCCCCCGTGGGCTCCCCATTCCCCCAAAGATCCCCCCGCCAGCTGCCAGCCAGAGACGGGCCGGCACGCCTCCGAGATCCGAAGGGTTTTCCCAGGAAGAGGGAACGGATTTGTTCTTTCCCCGAAGAGAGGGGCGGCAGCAAGTCGGGTGTCAGGAGAAAACTGATGGCATGAGATGTCAGCGGCCCGTGGAACGAGCTGCAAAGTTAAGACAGAAAGGTGAAACAACGTGGAAGAAAAAGTAAGAAAGAAAGAAAAAGAAAAAGGTGCGGAAAACTATAGAAAGCAAAGAGAAAGGCAAAAACAACACTTAAAAGCAGCGACTTCCAATCTTCTTTACGGTACAGCAGTTATAGACGTACTCGAAACCGTTCCCCCCCTCTAAATTACGCAACGTGGTTCCCTTCTCCCCCTATACGACCCTTTCTAATTGGTAAATCCAGAAATCACCAGCAAAAAGTCCATAAAGGGTTTCCAGTCTTTTATAAAAGGGGTGGTTGTTCCCTCCTTAATCAAACAAGTCAGCTTAGCCATTTCTGCTGCCTTCCCGATCTATTCCTCCGCTGTGGGGATTTCCGTACTCTTCCCCGTTTGCCGGGCGTCTTCAAAGAGAGGTCGGAGGGCCACCTGCCAGATACGCTACAGCACGGTTTGCCAACCGAGGCAATGTCCGGGTTGAGTGGATTTCACCTCCCAGAATTCTTTTCTCAGCGATGGCCATGGCTGGCTGGGGAATTCTGGGAGTCGAAGTCCACCCAGCTGGATCTTAACAAGGTCTGGAAACTGTGCTCTCGTGGACCCTGCATTTGGACCAGGTGACTTCTAAGCCCCTTAACTCTACGATTCTGTTCCTAAGGTTCGGCATAGGGCCATTTCTCTCCTTCCGGGCCCTTCTGTTCTGCGGGGCCACGGCTTCAGTCCCCGTGTCCAGATGCTTTACGTCCTCATGAACACTTCCTCTCTTCTCCTTCCCTCACTGTAAACTTTCTTGTACCTAGATAAGTCCATAATGTTCTCACACCTAATGCAGGAACCAAGAACCAGAGTTCCTTTTCTTGGCCGACCTTCTGCATCAAACAGGAAGCAAGGGACCTCCAGAAGACCATGGAGAACGGTGGGCTTCCGCTTGGAAATTCAGCTAGTCCTTCAACTTTCCCACCTGCTACTTTCAGGTGGGTTAGAATTCCTGGCCACCAACACATTTATGGGTGCCAGCTGGGGAAGGCTGAGCTACACTTGTCTTCTTTTTTGTACACCTTAATGACGGGAAAGCAAAATGAAACAGAAAGTTGGGGTATTTACCTTGTCTTTTTCCATTGCTCCAGTTCTACCTCAAAGAGAGACCTAGAACCATCACCCAGTTGGGCTCCATTCCAGTGACTGCATGGACATGTTTATGCAATTCTCTCAACTATAGCAGAAAAGCAGTTTCTTAGTGTCTTCTGGGATTTTTTTTTTTCCAAATTCCCAGTCTAGTATACGGCTTTGGGACTTCTGTGTGGTCTCCCATCCATGTTAAAAAAAAAATGAAGGGGAGCCAAGCAATGGTGGGGAGTTTTTACAATCGCTTGGTTGGGCTGGACACAAGGATGGACTTTGGCTGCTGACCATGGTTATTTTTGTTTTAAAATTAAAACATGTGGCTATCAATGTTTTAAATGTTTGTACATTGGTTTTTAACGTGTTTTTTTACTGGATTGTTGTTTTAACTGTTGTGAGCCACCCAGAGTCACTTAGGTGAGCTGGGCAGCTATGCAAATTGAATGAATGAATGGATGAACACAAATTAAATCAATTGCAGATGTTCTCCTGGTCAAAGACGCTTGCAAAGATTATCACGCTGAAGACATATTATGCAATACCTGATGATTTAAAGCCACTTTTTATTATTCAACATTTTATACATAATAAATACAAAGTTACACAGCCAATATAAAGAAAGCATTTGGGGGTTGCTTCCAGTTTATTGACACTGTACATGGGTGATATGTTTGATTGCATGCCCTGTATGAAGTTTAAAAAGGAGGCGTATTTTACAACTTTTTAAAAAATAAAAATTAGCAGCTCTTACAGAAAATATTTTTAAAATAGAACTAAGGAACTTTTATTTAAATAACACTTTTCTGAATTTGGGCAATCTGAGTACAGCAACAACAAAAACCAAACGAAACGAAACGAAAAAAAAAATGCAGAAAAACTGGCCAACTAATGGGAACATGGGAATATTATTGGCAACACACTTTTGTTTTTCATGAAACATTTAAAAATGTTTGCAGTAAAGTTTTTTCTTAAAAAACTGATTTAAAAAACTTTAAGAATAAGTCTAATAAACACTTAAAGACCTCAACAGATCAACAGCACAAAAAATGCACGCCCCCCTCCCCCCCCAGCCCCAAAACCTTCACAGGAATCTACCAGATACTGGCACCTGCTGCGGACAAGTTGGTTATGTTTAAATCTGCTCCTCCTTTGTGTAGGCCACATGAACAAAGATTGGCCAAGAAAAGAAAGGAAAGGAAAGGAAAGGAAAGGAAAGGAAAGGAAAGGAAAGGAAAGGAAAGGAAAAGAGGAGCTTTCTGGATAGACCCAGCCAAGATTATCTGTGCAAAGTTTAAGATGAAGCTCTTCTCAAACGATTTCACAAAATGAAGCCAAGGAATTGGGGGAAAAAATGGACACACAAGAGCTTGTTTAATCTTACTTATGGTAGAACTCCAAACACATTGTGTAGGTGAGTTTATACATTCTATCCCTTTAGCAGGGAAGTACTTGGGACAGATTATAGGGTGCCAGGTCAGTGTCGACCCTTCGTGCCCACATCGATTTTCTCCAGGAGGATCTGTCCCCAACCTGGAACTTCAGGTCTTCCAATGGTGCCCCCATCGGCACTGTAACTGACTCCATCCACCTCGCCCTCTTCTTCTCTTTCCTTCCACCTTTCCCAGCATTATGGACTTCTCCAGAGAGCTGGATCTTCTCATGATGTGCCCAAAATACGACCCTCTGAGCCTGGTCACTGGTGACGCGAATGAGAAGTCTGGATGGATTTGTTCGATGACCTATCAGTTTGTTTTCTCAGGCGTCTTCTCCAACACCAAAGTTCAAAAACGTCAATACTCATTTTGTAACGTCCTCCCCCCCCCGGACCGGTTTTCCCTATATGAACCTTGATGCTCAGACACCCAAATGCAAAATACATTTCTTCCCAACCTTTTGTCTTGTTTCACTTTAACTCAGGCTTAATAACTGAACCACCTTTATTCAACGTCAATGTGGTCTGTTCAGAAAAAAACAAGAGTTTTAAAAGTTGCCTCATGACATTCACCCTGAAAGTTGACTAAGAAAGCTATTCAGAACGGCAGACCAACTTTGGCAAGGTTTGACCCCAGGAGGGAGACCCATGGCAATTTGACAGTGGTGAGACGGAGCCCCCCGGGTTGATGCGATAACAACTTTCTTTTCTTTTCCTTCTTTCCCTCCCTGCCCATTGTCCATTTTTACTGGGCTTTGGAAAAAGTCCTGCAAAAATCTGTTGGAAAAGAGATGAGGTTGAACCCAGCAAAACCAATTTATATATGACCGGGAGCAATGGCTCCATCGAAGAGATGTCAAAGCTCTGTGTGTGCCAGAGCGAGAGAGAGAAAACAAGTTGATGACCATCTCCAGCTTTAATTCCCTGGGTTTGGGTGGCCACGAGGGTTGTGCAGAGACAGGCACTAGGGCTACCCCACACTAGAGGCCACCGGTCAGTATGCTAAAGATTCAGTTTCTTGAACACTAGCTGGAAGTCCCAATGACATGTTGTGAATGTCAGAGAGTAAATTATTCAGCAATAATAGGAGAAGAAGTGATCGAAGTTGAGGGAGGGAGGGAGGGAGGGAGGAAGGAGGGGAAGTTAGAAAAAGTAAAAGAAAAAACTATAAGGAAGGGAGGGAGGGAAGTTAGAAAAAGTACAAGGAAGAAAAGTATAATTAGGGAAGGAAGGAAGGAAGGAAGGAGGTAGGTAGGTAGGTAGGTAGGTAGGTTATAAAAAGTAAAAGAAAAAACTATAGTGAAGAAAGGAAGGCAATTTCAAAAGGAAATGAATGGCTATTTCCAGCTCTACAATGAAAATGCTGCTTATTCAATTTTCTCCTAAGAAAACAGGTTGCTACGAATTCAGCACTTATGTAGTAGATAATCCACTGCGTAAATATCAGTACAAAAGGAACACAATGCTCAGGTTTCACTGTCCATTCTGGAAGAGGGACAAGGCCCTTGTTTAACTCCCTTAAGATCTGCCGTGCTTTTGTAGAACTTTTTTTTTCCACCTCAAGGTGTGGGGAGGAGAGAAAAGGGGAGGCAAAAAAAAAGAGGGGCCAGCCTCTTCTTAAACTGACACTCGTGTGCTGCCTTTTCTGTTCCGTATGTTCTGACCATATAGGTGATGCTACTTGAAAAGGTTGAAAAAAAGATTTTAATACATTCCTATGACAACAGTAATATTCTGCACTAATGCACATGGTATATATATGCCATGATTTGGAGCAGGTCTACAGATTACACTCCCTATGCAGAAAAGCCCTCCTCTCGTGATCCGCTGTGAATGCTGCAAACGGTAACCCCGATCTTTCCTCCTCAAGTGCCAAAGAAATGTTCACCGGGCTGAGGAAGGAAAGTCGCCGGTCTAAACGTGGCAGCTTCCAGATGTTGCGACTGCAGCCCCAGCTCACAAGGCCGGTGGGCGTGCTGAGCGGCAGTGATGAGGATCAAGGTCCTGCCACATCTGGAAGTCACCAGGTAGAAGGATGAATCAGACCCTGTTGGGGTGAGGCCACTTACCCCAACTAATGTTGTCATCGTATGGCTGTAATTTGTAGACTGGCCACATGTAGCAGGGAGGAAGGTGCTCTGGTGCACCCCTAAAAAGGAAATTAGCTGACGTTCAGCTGAAAAGGCATGGCTGCTTGCTTTGTGCTACGAGGGTGGATCTATAAAGTGAAACCGAACAACCACAAATAAAAAAGGCACAAAATATCCATGACCACGGGAAGAAGAATCTACCAACACATCAGTGTTCCTGGAAGACCTTCCTGTTTCTCCTCGATCTTTTAAAGAGTCTCCTCCGTCAAACAAACGTGCCTTACGAGGGCGGTGAACGAAGCACCGCCAGCATTTGGCCTGGACTCTAGCGCTGTGAGGTGGCTCCTCCCTTCGGTCACACCAAGGTGATTTCCACGTCTTCGATCTTCTCGGGGGGCCTACGATGTTGGGTGGGTGGTGGTGGAGCAGCCCGCACCTGAAACCGCCCAAACATACAACGATGAGAAGAAAACCACGTCAAGTACGGGAGATTACACTGACTGGTCCAACAGAGCACACACAATGGGAACTTCCAAAGTTTCAAGGAAACATGGTCAAATATTAACCATATTTTCCATTTCGACATCACACTTTGAAGGAAAGTGGAGGGAAAACTTCTGAATTCCACCTCTCAGAAGACAACTGGAACATGCAAATTGGAGGGCAAGATGGAGTCACAGCTGGCTGCCCTGTAGTTTAGCAGCCCGGTGACCTGTGAACTTAACCTCTGTTCTAACTCAGTTTGTGCCTGGAGCAGGCCCAACCAACCTGCTCCTCTAGTGCACGCCCATTTCATTTCTATTGCTCGGTGGCACGTCTTAAAACTTACAGGTCTCAGTTTGCCATATGAAGTGCTTTCAGGAAGAAGTCGTGGTGGCTGGGAAAATCCAGGGGAATTTGAAGTGAGGTTGTTTTCTGAAACTGCAACAAAAGGGAAAAAAATTCAATGACCATGCTTCAAGGGCAGTGCTTCTCACCCTCAGCAACTTTAAGAGGTGTGGACTTCACCTCCCAGAATTCCCCAGCCAGCCATG